GTCGAGGAGGGACAATATCATTTGGAGAACCTGAGGGCTCACAGGTTCAAACTTGTCAAAGACAGCAGAACAGAGGACAGGGACCTGGCGGGTCATAAGCAGAAAGTGAGATTTGAGCCCTAATGGTAGTGACCTTATCAATAAAAAAGTGAAGAAATTTTTCACACACAGCATGGGAGGCATCAAAGCAGAGAGTTTGCAGGACATTGACAGCCGAGTCTATAGTCTCAAAGAAAACACGAGGCTTGTTACAGTTTGACAGAATAATTTCAGCTAAATATTTCCTTTTTGCTTCTTTCATAATTGTCTGATAATGCTGCCAACAGTCCCTTAACATTTGAAAAGACACATGCAGTTTATCCTTTTTCCATTTGCTCTCAGCCCTACGGCACTCACGTCTGATAAAATGGGTCGTATCATTCAGCCAAGGTTCAGCTTTAGTTTTAGATTGCCTGGTTTTCAATGGAGCCACAGAGTCTATAACAGTTTGGCAAGTGGAGTGAAACCATGAGCTAAGCTCCTCTGAATCATTACATATGGACTCTGGTATGTCAGAATACTGACATAAAATGGAGGAGAACTGAACAGCAGTGGAAGGGTTAATAATACGGCAGCGCCGTGCAGTAGCGTGAGGTTTAACTGTATTACAGGCAAGAATAATCTCAAATCATACCGGTCAGAAAACACAGTTAAGAATATGTAATCCATAGGATAGGACAAGAAACAGACTGCCCAAGATTAAAAGAGTCAATGAGGTGTAGAAAGTCTTTTGCCTTTGGGTTTTCAGGACAACACACATAAACATCAATATCCCCAACAATGAGGACACGATCGTATTTAAGCATAATTTCAGCCAGAAAAACAGAAAAGTAATTTACAAAGTCCTTATTGTATTTGGGAGGCCGGTAGACCGCTGCACACAACACTGTGTGAGAGCGACCCAGCTCAAATAAGCTCAGTTCAAAGCTGGTGAACGAGGATGATGGCGACACCTGCTTACATTTATAGACATTCTTATAAGCAGTTGCTGTCTTAATAGAGGAACTAGAGATACTGGACTTAATGACCTCACCAGCCTGAGGGTTCCCTGTTTAGCCCCCCTGTCGTTCCTGCATGTTTTTTGGTTGAACGTCTCCAGACGCCGGCGCTGCCGCATGATGTATCTCAGGCTGGGAGAGGACCCTGGCCAGGTAAATAGTGGGGAAAGTAACTAAAGGTGCCTTCACACTGAAAGCGAATTTAATATTCGTATCGCTTTACTTGCGCGTGTTTGACCGCTGGACATTTTGAGTGTTCACACACACGTGTTTTAAGCGAATAAACACAGCCCGCGGATACTACAGCTGTATGAACACTAGGTAGAAACCCTTTGCTGTGATTTAATTGCAATAAACGAATCAAACTGATGCCGAAATAACTACAATATGATGCTGTTTTGTTAAACATATGAATTGATGCTTTGTCAGGTCTGTCAGCAGAACGACAACTTCTAAAATGTTTGTTTTCTGAATGGAGTTTGGTTCGATCAGGGCTATGCTACGCTAACCTCTTTACAGTAAAGTACAACGACAGCTGGAACAAAGTTACAGACACACATTTTCTAAACTCACCAGGTAGTTCAACCTCCTCGCTTTCTTTTCTCCAGTAATGTCCAGCTTTGTCCGGTTTTTATATAAATATGAAGTAGTAGTCCAACAGAGCTCTGGATGCCATCTAACAACAAAAGTGCAGCCGGATGTGCACGGAAGCTGCTGAGAAGCTCCAGAGAAGATAAACCAAGTTGTAATCCCAAAAACTAAAGCAAAAAGCTAATTTAATAAAAGCAGTTAAGTCTGAGCTCCTCCCGCGGGTAAACGTGTAGCTGTCAGTTTATGTGTCTGAAAGCTGCAGCGCTGCTCCCCGTATACTTCCCCGTTCTTTAGCAGCTCCCAGTCGGCCAGTGGATCGTTATAACACCGTTCGCCTGGTCCTCTCCAAACAACGCTCCGAAGCCGCCGGTGACGTTTGGACAATCTCACCACTGATAGGCTTTCACAACACCGCATCAAGCAAATTTCACCAAATTCGCGCCGCAGGAATTCGCGTCTTTGCATTGACTTTGTATGTAATCAACCCGCCCAAAACGCTGGATTCGCTTTCAGTGTGAACACACCTTCAGAAACCTTACATTGTATGTATTTATGTACTATAGGCTTCCTAAAGCTAACAGTGATGTAAACCACAGTTAACGTAGTTTATTGCTACTGCCTTTTCACAAAGAAAACCTAACCTTACTTTAAAGAGGTGTTATTATGCTACCCTCCAGGCAGTCAGTGGACATAAAGTTGTTCCTGTGATGTAGAGACAGAGCTCAGTTAAAACTTTATGGATTAAAAAGATACTTTTGTTACAGATTAATAACTCACCACTCTGAAACTCTTGCCAGCAGGACACACGGCCAGGGTTGTAAGATGAAATGCAGTTTGTAGTTCCCTTTATGCTACATAGTGAACGATTTATACAAAAATTCTAAAACATATATACAGAATGTATAAATTTAAAATCACACATACATGCTTTGTTTTTTTAATTTTCCCACTTTGTTTTTGCTTGGAGGGAAGTCACCTTCCCCTACAGGCCCATTTTCTCCAAAATTGTCCTAATCACAGAGAAACAAAAGAACTGTTAATTCTGTGAAGACAGGAAAAGGTGACAGGGCAGGACAGAGACACAAAAACACAACAAAGAGCCGCCCCATCTACTAGTTGTCTTATAGTAAAGGCTTTGTATAGGATGGGGGCTCATTTAACTTTAAATATAAGTACAAGATGATCATATTACAAAGGGCTATCGATACTTTAATAACCTCAAAGCCACGCAGGCAGAACATTTTGCCCTGGTGAAGAGGTGGTCGCTCTCCCCCCTCAGTTTAATGAACAGTTTGCTCCTTGCTCCCTAAAACAAAACGACAAGTTCAGTTTTTTGCTTCACATCATCAGACAAAAAGCAGCATAAATCGCAAAATAACCTAGTTACATTAACCGTGTACTATATCCCAAGGTTTTTGTAACCGTTACTAACGTTAACAACCTGTCTAACGTTAAATTAGGGGGGTTTCACACCTGCATCCTTTGGTCCGGACTTTTGGACTTTTCAGTTTGGTCCGAACCAAACTTGCAGGTGTGAAACCTCCAACGAACCAAGGTCCGGACCAAATCCGACGAAAAGAGGTCGTATCGGTCCGGATTCGTTTCTAGTGTGAAAGCATTTTTTTGGATGGTTTGGACTTTCAGACTATTTACAGGAAGTTTGGCGGTTGACGTGTAAACCGGAAACAAACAATGCACAGAGAAATGCACTGAAATAAGGACACACGATTATAAATCTTCCGTGACAGCTCATCTTTTCAAACAGACGGCCGCTATAAAAGCACGTGACGTATTCAGTCTTCAAATGCAGCCTTTGAAGGATGCGGTCGCTGAATTGAGACACAGTCATAAACAGTACTCCCTGCTCCCTGCTCAGCAAATGTCGGTAAAGGGAATTTCTTCCATTCGGAACACCCTGCAACATCATCAGAGCACACGTCAGTTCTGCCGTATCTGGTAACGTAAACACCTCGGATACCCGCTGCTACTGTGGACCATCCATCCATCCATCATTAACCGCTTATCCTGCGTACAGGGTCGCGGGGGGCTGGAGCCAATCCCAGCTGACATTGGGCGAAAGGCGGGGTACACCCTGGACAGGTCGCCAGTCCATCGCAGGGCCACACATAGGCAAACACTTAAGAACAATTGACCTTTTGCTAAGCCACGCCCCGAATACACAGCTGGCCAATCACAGCGCAGTATAGGACTCGCTGTAACTGAGGTCCGACACTTTCATGGCAGCGCTCCATTGACTAATGCAAAAAGAGCCGTTTTCTAGCTTTTTTTTGGCTGTATTTTTCTAAGATCTGGTCAAACGCTGTTCTTTGAGCATCTTGTAATAGTTACAGCAGCTACCCAGAGAGGCTGAAAGGAGAAGGACGATTTATTCTCTTTCCAAAACCTAAAATAAATCCAGAAAAATGTCGGCTGTGGATTGTTCCTAATGTAATATTAGTTAGCTAACGCTAGCTAACTTCCTACTGAGTGTAACGTAATAAAGCCCTGTAATAAACACCAACAGTTAGCAGAGTTAGCAACAGTAACAAGGGGGTGGGGCTTAGCAAAGATTCAATTGAGGGTCACCAATCAACCTAGTCCGCATGTCTTTGGACAGTGGGAGGAAGCCAGAGCACCCAGAAAGAACCCAAACAGACACAGGGAGTACATGCAAAGTCCACACAGAAAGGCTGGAATGACCGAGGTTTGAACCCACGACCTTCTTGCTGTGAGGCCACAGCGCTATCCACCAGACCACCATGCCGCCCCTTATATTTCTAAACTCAGGACCTTCACTCTGATGTGTGAGTCCCGTGTGAAAGAAAGTCAGGCTAAAAAGTTCACACTTGGTATAAATCAGTTCCCAGAATGACATTTCGGGATCCCTCTCTTACCCAAACATTCAACTTTCTGCAGCAGAACAAACGTTTGTCAGCAGCCAAACAAAAATCCTCTGTCTGCCGTGAAAACAGCCCTGAGGTCTGCGTTCATCTCGTCAGTGATGCCCCGAGCAGAAACCAAGACTTTGTTCAGAAAAGTATGAAGACCGGATCCCATCAGGCAGCTGAACAACAGGAGCTGCTGTCTGATCCACTTCAGACGGAGAGTTTTCAACAGATGCTCGAAATATAAAAGTAAACAGCAGTGTGTTGCTTCACCGCTGACTCTGCTTTCATTTAAACTGAAAATAAGCCAGCAGCAACCTGTATCTGTCCTTCTCTAATGTTTTTTATAATACGTTCTTTCTCAGTGGTGGTCTGGGTCTGAGCAGGAGACGTGTTGAACCTTCAAACTCTGTGCATTGTATTTCTAGTTTAGTGTGTTAGAATAATGTGTGTTGTTGGTTCAGGGTTAGTTGGTGCAGCTACTCACCGAGCTCTCAGAGCGCTGACGGTAGACTTATCAATCCTGCAGAGAGAGAGAGAGAGAGAGAGAGAGAGAGAGAGAGAGAGAGAGAGAGAGAGAGAGAGAGAGAGAGAGAGAGAGACATGCTGTTAACATATCCAGCACTCAACACACAGGAAGAACATTGAGACGCTGCTGTGGCGAAGAGATTTACATCTGAATTCTCTATTAACCTTAATGAACTGTGTGTGTGACAGAGAGGTGTGCGCTCAGCAATAAAAACTCTATTTATTAAAGTGCTGCAGCAGTAAATCACTCACACAGTATTTGAAGTACTCAGCGGTACATTTTAATCTCTGTTGTACCGTGACTACTGGCACTTTTCACAAGCTGCCGGTCCTCTTTCTGCCCTTTCCACCACAGGATCTCTGGGAGATTCATAATGGATCTAAGAAACTGCATTACCCAGGGGGCACTATGTTACGCTCACCTGTTCCCGCCACGCCTGCCTGCCTTTCTTTAAGCTAAGCTAGTCTAAGGCACGAATACGATCTCCGTCCACAGCAGCGTTTTAGCTGCGTATTAAAGTTGATCTCTGCCTACATGAAAACAACAGAAAACACGCATCTAGTGGCCGTTCAGGTGCACTGGGCGTGTGCGTGCCGGTGTAAACATGAAGCAGATGGTTTGTTCCGTAGTTACAGAAGATTTGGCGAAAGAATAAAGTACTGCAGACGAAGAACCACATGAGATTTTATTTTCCATGCACCAATAACAAGCTGGGACTGTTACTGAATGTAACACGGGAGTTAAAAGCGGCGGTGGCGTCGGAAAACAGACCGCAAAGTAAATATGGCGAGATGCACAGCACAAGTGAAGGCTGTAAGTGTTGTTTGCACGGTACAAAATATTTTAATAAACATACCAAATCAAAAACTCTGTCAGCAGCGTCAAGTTTCTTTGACTTAGAGAGCCAATCAGAGAGCCAAACGTCATGCCCGTCTGCACTAAAACGCTCTCTGGAGTTTTAAAACAGAAAACGGGGTCGGCAGCGTTTTCAAACTTCTCCGCTTTAGGTTTTCGTTTTCGTCATTTTAGTTTGGACGGGAGGAGCAAACGCAGAAAAAGGTCTCGGTTTTAAAACCTAAACGCAGCAGTGAGGACGGGGTCCAAGTAACATTACATTAACCTCACAAAGCCCGGCTCCACAAGGGCCCAAAGAGAAGACGAGCAGAGTCAGACGACGGTACAGCAGAACTTCAAAGTAAAATCCTTCCAGCCACTGCTCGTTTCTGTGGCACTAACAGTAGAGAAGAGAAAGTGGAGTACAACGAGCAAAGGCAGTGGTTCCCAAACTGAGGGGTTAGGCCCCCTGGGGGGGCCTTAGAGCCACCTCTGCATGAATGGATCTGATTATGGACAGAGACAGCGGAGACACGCCACTCAATCACATCCTCATTACAAGTCTATGAGGAAATCCCGTAACGGCAAAGATGGCTGTTATCCCACCCCTCCCGCTAGAAAGCCAATCGTCTGCTTTCAGACAAAGCGGGAAACATATTTCAGCCAATCGTGTGCATGCATGGAAGTGGTGACACATGCATAGAAGGAGTATAACCGGTCGGGAAAAAACGCATTTGAAACCTTATTTTGGGGCAAAGTCTTCAAACGTTTTCATCAATTTTTATTAGATTTTACTGCTGATTGTATTTGTGTAGTTTTTATGTCCTGGTAACCAGTGAACGTGCAGTTCTGTCTATCTGCACATTCATTCAGACAGGAGCCTGGTCTTGTTAGTCCGAACTAGCTGCGGAGGCGTTGCCAAGATGGCGGCCGAGTGGCATGACGTGCCTATAAGGACTGTGCTATGGAGGACGGATCCTGACATAATCAAAAATAAATACAGAAATAAATAACTGCTCAATAAATAAATCAACATCCTATTAAATGCTCAGGAAACAGTAAATAAATAAATGTAGCCATTAATTAAATTATACAATTAAACATAAATGTATATCTCTCTCTTTATTTATTCACCTTTGTAATAATTACCTTACTTATTTATTGTAGTTTATAATTTTCAACTTTATGTGTCATTGTATTATGGATCCATGCTGGTTATTGACGAGTCAGTACATTAACACATCAGAGACCGCGGAGAAGGATTTAAAGAAAGAATAAAACCGACAACAAATATATATGTTGGTTGAGTATTTCTTAAACTGCTGTAATGTACAAATGCTCTAATTTCTCCTCCTCCAGGTTGCGGATATTTCTTCTGCAGTGGACAGATGGAGATTTAGCCTGACTAACCGCCTCCTTCTGAGAGCAACACGTCCCCTTTGTTCTATTTATTTACATCTACTTTCTAAAGTCATTGTTGTAATATAATAATATATGTGTGTGTCGTGGGGGGTTGTTTTATTATTTTCACCACTGATTATTGCCTCCTGCAGACGCTGCCTCACATGTGAAAGTGCAGATCTCAGGTCTGTTCATCTAGTTAATCCTCAGGTACTGAACCTGGACATACTGCCAGAGGAAACACTTCAGGAACATTTCTTCACACTGACAGGTTTTAACATTTTTACTTGGTCTGTGATGCTGTTTGTTTGTCTTTCCCTCTGTTGTTGTCACGTCTGTCTTTAACTTAAGGTCATATATAAAGTGTCCGTTTTGTGTTTCATGTGCAGAGGCATCTGATGTTTTCAGCACTTTGCCAGACGTTTAAGTGACGTTCCACAATCTTAAAAATTACATCAAACCGTCAGTAGTTCTCTCTCTTTCTTTCTTTCTTTCAATTTAAACGTGGGTTTCGTTCTATTCACTTCCTTTTAGGGCTGACCCCAAATAATCAATGATTCGATTGCTTTAATGGGCGGAGCCTAATTCGACTGTCAATCTCACAGTCGAAGCTTCGCAGTGAAACAAGGATCATGTCACTTTGGCGAGGTGGGGGTGCTCAACGTCTGAGTTTACATAGAACTACATAGTTTTCTCTCAATAAGTTAATATACAGCCTATTACAATATAAATTATAACATATAATGCTGTAAATAAACATGTAAAAAAACTTTCAATAAATGTTTTTAAAGGAGACTTTATTATTTTTTATGCTTTTCCACATTTTATGACTTATCTAAAATGTTATAATTGGATGTTGGATGTTCATGTTAAACATGGCCAAAGCTTCAAAAAATGAGGTTAAAGTATTTAAAAGAAATCCCTGTGAGCTAAAACTTCAGATTTCCTCCTGAACGCTGTTTTCAACTGCTTTTTCTACCAACGGCTCCGTAATACGACACACACAGACGGAGCCGCTGCCCAGCGACAACAACAGCCTGGTAACATGCTTCAGGTCTTGGCCAATCAGAAGACAGTGGGCTTTGAGAGGGGGGCCTTAAAGAGACAGGAGCATCTACAGCTTGTTTCAGACAGAGGCTGAAATGAAGGCCTACATGAAGAGTAGGTATAAACAGAGAATTATTTTTTTTTAACTTTGAATCATGCAAAGCTGCCATACAGGAGTCACAGAACTACAATATAGGACTGGAAAAGCAGTATAATAGGTCTCCTTTAAAGTGTGTAAATAAATCCAAAATTGTAACCCTAACCCTGGGTCATCAGAGGGCATGCGTAGGCGTAGTGTGTATGTGTGCGGTGGTAGAAGAGGAACACTTGCTGTTCTGCCGGGTTGTCCGCACCTCGCGGGACTTTCGGATAATTTATCACCAATGATGAACCACACAAAGAATATTTTATCGTTTTTAAACAGCCGGCTACTTGAAATAGACCAGCGAGGGACCGCGACCTGCATACAGCTGTCGGCAGTGTGGCATGCACGCTAAACTCTGCACAAGACCGGTGAATGACAGACAAGAGAGAGAGAGAAAAAATGGTCAACAATTACACTTTTAATTTGCTTCTTGTTTGTCATCTGTTTGTGTTTGAAATGCTGTAAAATAGAGCTATAGTGCTATACAAATATACTTATTATTATTATTGTTATTTGCTGTCAGGTCCCCTCCACTCTGGTCCTGGTTTATCTCACTTCTACAAAAAAGCTTTCACAGTGTGATGCAGAATTTATTTTCCTTTATTTTTACATTGACATTTTTATGCTTGATTGATTCATAGTTGTGATACCAATTTTTATTTAGCAAATTGTTACTAGGTAAACAAATAAAGCTATTATTTCCTGATAGAAACACCATTTCATGTCTAAAACGTGTCCTCACAAAGGTAAGTACACAAAATATACTATACATTTATACACACACAAAACAAACAAAAGCAGCCTTCTCTGTCAACAATTAGCCAAATATGTAAGTATGGCGGCAGTAGATGTCACAGACGTTGTAACTGAATAAACAGTAGAGAGTGTTCAGGGCTGACTGGACGTCCTAAAGTCCAACAGCAGCGCTGTGTTAAAACAAAATGCTTTGTTGTTTCAGATACAGGTGAGATGATGAAATATTTATGAGCAAGTGCACCATAAACAGCAGTAATCCAGCGCTTGTGTTACAAACTAATCTACCATGAATGTCCGCTTACAAGCATTTGATTGGCCAATGCAGACGGATGACACCACGATGTGATGTAGTGAAAGTTTTGCAGGAGCCTCCAGCGTGAAAGCGAGGGCTGTGTATAATAATCTTTATTTATAGAGACCTTTCTAAAAATCCATGTCGATGAGTGCTTCAAAAGCAGCAAAATGAAACACAAAAAGTCCAACACGTATTCCTTCCCAAGTTGTCACATGGAAGCATGGTCAAGACCCGTCGTTACTTTGTTTTTATCGCATATGCCTTGCACTATTTTTCACCAATACACCAGCATCTGGCCCAACAATGATAAAAAAACGTTTTTTTTGTGGGTATTCTTGTATTTTGACAGACAAAACGATCTTAAAATGAGCATCCAATGAAAAGATTTCTCATTTTTATAACGCCACCGGAGTTTAGTGTTTCTGGGGGCCGACCGGACCTCACTGATTACTGTACAACAACACAAACACATCTTTATTAACTGATTTTGGTGAAACTGTCCCCCGGCTGCCCTGG